CTCCAGGAGGTCTTCCCAGCCCAGGGATCAAACCCTCATCTCCTGCACTGGCAGACAGATTCTTTACTACTGAGTCACCAGGGGCAGACTACAATCCACAGGGTTCCGAAAGAGTCAGACACAACAACTTAGCAGCTAGAACAACAACAAAGATATCCTTGGATGATTTATAAATATTTCATTTTTATCTGTCCCAACTATGTTTCTTTGCACTGCATGGTCTACACAACCTATGAAGCACAGATATTTTCGAGTCAGCCACCACAGGGTTCTGGCTGTTGACATTCCCTTCCTTCTCACAGAGAACTCAAACCATAATTTGGAGGTTCTTTTTTCTTGGGTGTAATGGAGGCCTCCATCATAAATGAATGGCCTGAAACTTCCTGAAGTCTCTCCCACATTCTCTTACCAGGTCTCTGATTACCATTAGATAGCTAAGATCTGATTTACGAAAGCTGGAACTCGGTCTGTGATCCGAAATGCAGGACCACCCATGATGGGGATGAGCCCGCACACCTGATCCCTGAGCAACAAAAATCAGTGCTGGGTGTGCATCTTGCTGCCATCGCTGCATATGACTGGGTTTACAGCGCACAGAAAGCTACGTGACTGACTCCCCCTTAATTCTGAGAGCCAACCCTCTGATGCTTCTCCTTTTTACAAATGAGAAAACGGAGGGCTGGGGCATAAATGAGCTACTCAAAAGCCTACAACTTGAATTCACACTCTTCTAAACCTAGAATTCTAATCTTTGCCCCTTGCCACACACTGCCCTGAAACCACCTCTTACCCCTGGCAAGAAACAGCCAATTTTACAAAGGCCTGACGAGGACAAAACTCGGTGAGGAGCATTTAAGATAGTGGCTCTCACACTGCAAGCTGGAAAAAAAATCAGTTAAGTCCTGACTACAGACAGTTCTAAAGTGTGGAAGATAATAGATTTGTGTCACATTTAAGAATAAACATTAATTCCTGAAACTCATTTCAGTTGTCTATCAACATTCCTATGTATGAGTTTCTTGCTGTGAGTAAGTAGTCCAGAAAAGTTAGACAGCCACTGACTACATCCCTCTAGATCACAGCTTTAGATCTGAGGTTTAATTTCCCAGATTAGAAAAGTAACACGGGAAAGGGCTGATCAGGGTGCTGAAGGCTAGCCTGGATCAGGCACCACTTGCGCAAGGCCTCTAGCCCTCTGCGGGCTTCCCGCAGAAGGTAAGGTATGCCTGCAGTGCGGGAGACCCAGGTTCAATCCCTGGGCTGGGAAGATCCCCTGGAGAAGGCATTGGCAACCCACTCCAGTACCCTTGCCTGGGAAAAATCGCATGGATGGAGGAGCCTGGTAGGCTACCGCCCGTGCGGTCACAAAGAGTCAGACACGACTGAGCGGCTTCATTTTCTAGCCCTCGGCAGCAGAGAACCACAGTCACCATCAGCAGCAGTGTCTGGACTGCAGCCTTGACCAGCAAGCAGGTGCATCAGCCAAGCCCCACAGGCTCTGTGACCATGTCTGGAGAAAGGCAGCGGTCCGGCACACAACTCTCCCTCATTTCTTCTCTCAGCACTTCCCTGGCGTGTCAATAACAAAGAAGAATCTTCACTTCGGCAAGTTTTATTGACTGAAGAGTTAGCGGTCCTCACTGCCACCTTCCAGAACTCACAGCCCCCAGTTATCAAAACATAACACTCAAAGCCTTGATGTTGACCACGTTCAATTATAATCCCTCATGTTCCCCTCCCCAGTTCAATTTTCTTTCTTTCCAGAAGCAAGCCTATCATTTATCTGGTACACATTTTCCAGTTTATACCCTAACAATTTTAGGATGTGTGCATGAGCAACATATAGCAATGCTTGGAGGGATTTTTTTAAATTACATTCGACTACTGTGAGGTACATATCCTGCTGTTTTCATTCATTGTTTTTTTTTTTCAGATGTATCCACATTTATACACTTTTTGTTTTGGTAATATGCTGTATACTATCCCATCATACATAGTCTATAAACGGTTCCCAATACACTGTTATTATAAGCAGCACTGCCATGAACATTCTCAGACATGTCTCCTCAAGTTCATATAGAAATCTGTTTAAGGTATAGTTGGAAGTAGAATTGCTGAGTTGTCATACACACGTATATATGTCACTGCCAACCTCACATCCCAGGCAAACCCTACCAATAACTTAATACATGTCCTTGAGGCTTTACACACCTGCACACATATATATATGATCTTCCCATGAATTTAGATAAAACTGTCTCATGGTTTATGCTGGGTTACAGAGGACTGTTTTCCGCATTAACTGACCAGTGCCCAGCTGATGAACATTACGGGTTTTTCCTTCATTACAGTAATTCAAGGACCTTTGCACAAGGACACACTAGTGCCAGGACATGTTGAACAGACCAGAACTGCTGGATCTACCTCTCATTTTTACAAAGGAAAAAAGGCTGAGTCTCAGACAGCTGGGGTGAGGAGCTGGCCCACAAACACCTCAGGAAATGAGAAATGATGGGGCTGGGGACCCCATTTCCTACAGTCTGGTCTCCAGTCCTCTAGGGGGCACCTGCCCTGCTTAAGTGAATAAAACATTCCAATACACAGCTGGGGCTTCCCTTGTGGCTCAGATGGTAAAGAATCTGCCTACAATGCAGGAGACACAGGTTCAAACCCTGGGTTGGGAAGATTCCCTGGAGTAGGGAATGGCAACCCACTCCAGTATTCTTGCCTGGAGAATTCCAAGGACAGAGGAGCCTGGTGAGTTACAGTCCATTGGGTCACAAAGAGTTGGAAATGACTGAGCGACTAACGTAATACACAGTATCCCTTTTACATGTTAGGTGCTGTCTCCAGTTAGCAAGGGAGAATCTGTGACCACACAGTATAGCAATGGGTTCAAACTCTAAGAGGCAAGGGGAGATCTCCATGCTCCAATCTCAGGAAAGCAACAAGAACAGAAAAAGTTGGCCCCATACCTAGCTCTCCCCAATAAGCTTCAAAAAATTTTAACTGAGCATGTGCTGTGTGCTCTGTCGCTGAATGGACAGGCTCATGCGTGCATGTACACACATCATGGATCAAGTGCAGCAGCCCTGATGCCTAGCCTTTGGCATTTATGAGTTTGAATCCTGACTCAGCTCCTCATTAGCTGTGTGACCGTAGACAAATTATCTGACCATTCAGGCTCCTGACTCCTCATCTTAAAAAAAAAAAAGAGGTAAAATTTGTACATATCTTATAGGGTTTTGTGAAAAGTAAATAAATTACTACATTAAGTGCTCAGAAAAATCCCTTAGCCCATAGTATATATTTAGAAAATATTTAGGATACTTGCTTAGTGCTAGTGCCTGAGACAAAGACAAGGTCCCTGGACTAAAAGAGCTAGTAAATTTATCAGAATGTCAAATAAAAGCAATAAAAGCGGGTGTGGCCGCCAGTCAGAGGAAGTGGCAGGTGGAGTAAACGTGCCCTTCCAGAGGGCACACGGAGATACATGGGAACCGGAGGAGGCTCCTCACCTCAAGGAGCTCTCCGAAAGGCTGAGACACTCACTCAGAGCAGTCCTGAGCAAGGTCACACCCTCAGCGCTGGGACCCAAGGCTTTAGCAAACACATACTTCTTTTAGGAACTGTAGAAAGGTGAGCCTCAGGGACACAGACATGATGGAAACTCTGAAAGCACGTCGTGCATGAACAAGCCCTATCCTGTGACTTTCCCCACCCCGGGAGCGTCTCTGCAAATGCGGGTCTTCATCAACCATCGGCTTCCTGGTCTGTCTCCTCTCTCGGGCGGCTCAGGCTCTGTACTTCCTAGTTCCTCCACTCCCCTGGCAGCTGACTCCGGGCTCACTCTCTCACCCTCTATATGCAGGTAGCGATCACACACCCTTCACTCCTCCTGGCCCCAGAGACACTTGATCTCTAAAATGGAGGGTTGTCATGAAGATTAAATGAAACAAACTGTGGCAAGTTCGTCTGCAGAAAGCGCTGGCACAACTTAGTTCCATTCCCTTCTCTGAGGATGCTGCCACGCTGGGACAGTTGTGCTCCACACCCTGGTATGATCTCTGAATTCTCTCTGGTCTCTGCCCACTACATTCCACCAGGGCCATGCCCCGTGCTCTACTAACCACCCATCACCCTCCCACACACACACACAATCTACACAAGCTGCTGACAACGTGCATTACCAAGACAGCTCTGCTCACACCTCTCAAAAACTTTCAGCTACTCCCCAGTGCACATTACTGAAGAAAGACTCAGTGTTCCAGGTATGCATGAAAGGTTTCTGAATCTAGCCGGAACCCACCTTCCAACTTCAGTCTCCCCATGACCCTTTTCTCCAGTTCAGTTAAATCACTGTTGGGGAGTTGCATCATGAAATATAGACTGCATCCAAATAAGAGGGTAAAACAAAGCTTGACAAGTTCTAATTGTCACAACTTCAGAGACTTTCATACCTTACTATGTATCATGTCTCTTTTACATTATCCCAAGCTTATTTGGATTTCTAGTGGTCTTTATTCATGGAATTCAAGAAACAATCTAGAACAATCTGTACCACAATGATTCTCCAACAAGCCTGTGGAATGTACCAGTTAGGTAGGCTCAAGAGTGACTGCCATGGCGTATGGCCGTAAGCATCTTAAGCATATTTGTTGTTTATGACCCTCACTGTATGCAGTCTCTGTGAAGGTATAAAAATCCCAAACTGAGCCATGGGATGGAATCAAATGGCCGATGGCAGTACCCCAGCAGGAACGACAAAGATTTACTTTTCCCTTGACTTCCAGGGCTGCCTCCTTTCCCAGTCTTCCCTCTATCCCATGCCATAGACTTCCATTCAAATCCCTACATGCTTAAATTAGCCAGCATTGGCTTCTGAGACTTAAAACCAAAGAACTGTCACTGATGCATATAGTTCTTTGGGTCCCTGAGCAAATCACCCAAGTCTCCCCCAGGCAAAGGAGCTCTCAGACCCCTCCCCGTGGGTACAGTACCTGTCCCATCCGGAGTAGACCTCACAAAGGTAGGCAGCATTTTCACTGAAGCCGTGGGGTGAGTGGTGGCTCCAAGCCCTTTCTCCATCTCCTTGCGAAACCGCTTAGCAACCTCCAGAAGGGTTTCATCAGAAAGACGCATGTGGTAGAGATACTGGTCAACCTGAAAGACGGGAACATGAATAGTGACATATGTGCTAAATGAATTATGGTATTCATTTATGTCATGGAATATCATTCAGCTTCTCAAAAGGGTAAAATCTACTAGGTACAGAAGGTTATTACTAAAGACCATTGAACCAGAATCTGTTCTGGTTTTTGTCTTAAAAAAAAAAAATTAACTAAAAATTAAAATTAGAAAAATGGTCTAATTTTATTTCTGGAGAATGGTGAAGACCAGGGGAAAGGCCAGCTGGGAGAAAGGCTCATCTCTTGTCCTCCGCACTCAAGGCCAGTCGTGCCAACCCTGTTGCCCCTCACCAGAGGCCAAGCAGCCGTCACCTCCTCCCTAGACTAATAAGAGTCCCTGATTCTACTTTTACTTCTGCTATCCATTTTCCATCCCCAGACAGAGTCTATACTATTCCCATGCTTAAAACCTTTCTGTGACTTCCCATCGGCACCAAATCTGAAATCCTTCCAAGGCCCTACCATACAGCCTGGCCTCTCCCATTCCTCCTCATCTTACCAGGTGCCTCTGCACTCCTTGTGCAGACCAGCCTTAGCTCCGTCCCCCAACACACCAACTTTGCCCTTCCCTGCCTGTACGACTGTTCACACAAGCCACACAGCACCTCACTCTGCTCTTCATCTACAGATCCCTTACCAATCCTTCAGGTCTCTCTGCACAGAGGCCTTCTCTGATCGTCCTAATAAAACAATCAGGCCTCCCTGTTTTTTCCTCTGAACTCAGACTTTTCCCTTCACATCATCAACCTCAATTTGGAAATATATATATTCATTAGTGTCCAAATCATAAGCACCAAGGGCAAGAACCATGACTATTTGTTCACGCTTGCATCCCTGAAGCCTAGCACAGTGCGTGACACATTGACAGAGGCTGGATACACGTGGTAAAGCAAAGGTCCTCCCCCATCCTCAGAGGCAGAGGCGGCTCTCCCTAGTCATTTCATTTATCTTGTTCTCAACATAAACTTATGTGAACTTTTCCCAGATTTAACACTGGGAGAAGGAGAAACAACAAGAGTCCCCCTCAGACAGTCTGCTTCTTGAAGACTCTCATCTAATCTGGCTGTGGATATTCCCAGTTTCCTTCGATCAGAAAAAGATCTGATAGAAATCCATCCAAGGAGGCACTCAAGTTTCCACAGTATCCCTGTTCTCAGCAGCAATGTCCAGGCCAGGGGGGGTTGCTGGCCATGGAGATGGGGGTAGAATCGGCACCCTTGGACCAAGCTACAGCTGTGCCCTCAAGGTATGAGGGTGGTGGCCCTGGGACTCCCAGCCTCATCAGCAAACTGGGGGATGAGGAGACCCTGTTCTTCCCAGCTCCCAAACTTCAGGATTCCTTGGCTTGGCTGATGACCACTACCACTGTTACTCCTGTGGGAAACACAAATAAATGCCCACCTGTCCTTTGCACAACTCTGATCAAGAAGCATACACATTTATAACGAGCTTTCCCAGACAAATGGGCTCATTAGTATTAATAGACTATTCTATTTTCCAGCACTTTTTCTTTGTCAGATCTTCTTAGAACCAAACTTTTTTGGTTCTAAGTTAAAACCAAAGGTTTTTAACCAAATTTTGAAGCTTGAGATTTTCAGAGAAACGGCAAAAGTTGTTTAATACTTTAAGGAAAGAACAGACCCACTGCCCTCTTTGGGGTTGGGCGGGGCGGGGTTGCAGAATTAGAGAGCAAGAGAAACAGTCCTCTTACTCACATGTTCTCTCTTCCAGGCCACATCCTAACTCCCTGTGGGATTTGGGGTCCATCCCTCTCTTCTGAGTGATTATGAGATGGGCCCTTCTCAGATCATTTCAAACATCCTGACCACGACTAATCTTTCATCATTCTTCTAAAGTCCCAAAAGTTGAAAGATCAGAAACTGGATAAAATGCTGCAAGAAGCTGTAAGCAAGACAAAGAAGAGACTGTGGTTAATCAGCCCACCCCTCTCCGTCACTGTGATGTGGTTAAAACAGAACAAAACTGGCAGACACAATCCTCAGATGGGATGGAAAAGGGCAAAGCAGGCCTAGAGCAGTGAAAGCCACTCAGCCACGTCTCTACTCCCTCCCCGGCCAGCGGAGGGACGAGGCTTGTCATAGAGAGCTTTAAATTTGCAGAAATAAGGATATCCCCAAGTTCCCTTGCTGCCAGCGTTTATTAGAGAGCTACCGTAGACATCTAACTCCTTTGGTCTAAATCAGAAAGACTTCAATCATCTATTTCCTAATTTCAGGTTCATGGCACCTCAGGTCTGTGGGGCACTAGCCCCCTGCCCTGAGCAGGGTCACTGATGTGGGCTTCCTACAATACTGGGGAGCCAGGGTATTCCTTAGGAGCGTGGCCTCCCCTACAGCGACACGCGAGGCTCCCAGGAGGAAAAAGCCTATAGGCTCAGACAAGTCCTCTTTCTGTTGGCACAGTGGGAGGCAAAACACAGGAGACTCTGGGCCCAGAGCAACTATAATCACCCCAGAGGCCTCCTGCTTCAGACCCAGTGACACCCAGCTTGGCCTAGGAACACTGCATTAGGGCTTAACACATCTCAGTGCTAATGTACAAGTCCCAGCCACCAGACCAAACAAAGGCTAAAGCCAAGCCACATCCAAGTACAGCCTCACAGGCAATAGTAGTAACAGCAAACCCTTCAGCAAAACCTGTTCTCAAGGTTTTATACCCATTAACTCACTGAATCCTCATAACAACCCTTTGAGGTGTTATTTTCTCCATTCAACTGAAAGGGGAAGGCAACATGCCCAAAATCACACAGATGCAAAAGATTAAGCCAGGACTGGATGGGCAGCCCACTGTGCTCTTGTCCACTCTACTAGATGAATGCCCCTGAAGAGCAGGTCTATGCAGCTCAAACGGCACTTCAGTACATTCGGGCTGGCCACACCCACTAAAAGGCCATCTTCTGAACCAGTCATCCCCCCACACAGACACGCACAGGGCTGCCCTGGCAGGTCAGAGGGCAGCAGACATATCTCTGGACGTTGTCATGAGTTGACAGGTGACTAAGTTGGAGCTCCTGCCTTACTACTTTCCCAAAAAGAAGAGAGGCCCAGAAGCCTCGCTGCCACCCACTCCCGCCTCCATAGATGCTCCAGATGTTGCAAAGGCTCCAGATGTTCCCTTGTGGGAAAGCTGAGCCTGTGGTGCTGCCCCATGAAGGAGCTGCCCTATGGAGTGTGAGGAGTGTGAGGTCATGTACACAAAAGACCAAGATAGGATGGCCATAGTTCTACTGTGGTCATGCTTAATTCAACTTTGATGTTTAAGCTGCTACAAGGCTCGTCAGAAATCTAGTCAACACTCCTCATCCTTAACTCTCAAAAGGACCTAACAAGTTAAAGGGTCAGCCTTTACTCAAATCATGTTGCCCTTTACCCAAGAGATTATAATCATTCTTCAGTGTTCAGTAACAGATGAAAACAATCATGATGATCACCATTACAGCAGCTAAACATTTAACAAGCATTTCTTACCTCCCAAAACCCACCCTACAAGTTTACTGACATGACATCCATTGTCCTTTTGCAAAACTTCTACATCTCCATTTTATAGATCACTTGGTGAGGAGCACAGGTGTCTGGCTCTAAAGCTAGGCCCTTAGGACTACCACCCTCACTTTTCCTGAGGACCCTCCTCATCTGAGTGGGGACTCTCTGCTCTGCAGTTTCTGGGATGACCTCAGTGCTTTGATTTACTCTCCATCAGATGAGACCAAGGAAAAGGATACAGGACAACTATGAAAAATGCAACTACAGCACCTTGGCCCAAACTTCCTCTCTTTGGGCCATAATGATGGACATGATGATGTATCCACCCTGAGTTTCTTAGGGCCATTCAGGAAGGAATGATTAACCACCTGATGCTATAACTTCCTAACACACAACTGAGGCCCACCCAGCCTTGGCCAGCACTGTTGCGTTGAGTTGAGAGTAGCCAAGGGAAGCAGGAGTCGGAAACAAGAAGCAGCCTCCAGATGAAGACCTTTTTCCTGGGTTGGGAAGGAAGTAAATGCACTTGGCAGAATTCTGCCAACTTTCACTCACAGTGCAACCAGAGGAAGGTAACACAACGAAGGCCCAAAGTCATAGGAGAATGTCATTTAGGAGTTACCAAATGTACACAGCCCAGTAACACCATGGCTAAAAATACTAACTCTTAGAAAGAACCTTGGGGTGATGACAATTCAAAATCCCATTGAACGTAGACAGCATTTGAGTTTATCTTGTTTGTCCCTCTTACTCCAATAGTCATCAGGCCTAGATCTGAATGCTTCCAAGCATGACAGGCTCCTCACTTCTCAAAATTGGTTAGCTTCTACTGTTGGTCAGCTCTAGTTGTTAGAAAGCTTTTTCTCTGAGGTAAATCTACCTTCTGTTAACTTCTGTCTATGTTCTGCCACTTGGGATAAGAGTTTCTGAACTTGGCTACACGTTAGAATGACCTATTAAGAATCCCAAAGACCCATTCCAGACTAACCAAATTGACATCTTTATTACTGTCTGGATGTTCTGACATCTTCCCCTCTCCTTGGGCTGGTATCTACCTTACCAATAATGTGATAATAACGGACTATGTTCTAGCCAACACTGCTCAAGGTCATTTGTTACCACTTTCTGCCTGGGATCTTTGAAAGTTGGCACTTAAGACATTAGGCTAAACTGTGAAATAATCCTTCATCAATCCTGGGTGTTGAGAGTTAGAAAGACAAATCTGAAACTTGTTGGGGAAAAGTTTCAGTTGTTGGAAGCTATCAAAGTAGAATCATTCAGGTTAGCCCTTATTTAGTAGGTGGTGGTGGGGAACTGTAGGCTGTGGCATAAGAAAAATCAGTGTTCAAATCCTGGCTCTAGCATTTGTAGAGGCATCTGAGTCCCAGTTTCCTCCCTATAAAATGGGAGGGCTAGCATTCACAACAGAGTCACTAGCATAAATGAGGTGGCAAATGTAAAGCCATCTATT